TATAATATACTTTTATAAAATATAATTTTAGACTATATCAAAAATTCCGTATACGTAAGAGTTTTATTTTAAAAAATTTTGTTTGTTTACACGCGTTTACACTACTATTTACGTAATAGTTCAGTTTATCTGAAAAATCGCATTTACCTCGAACTTAATTCAGTTTCTAACGAAAAAAAACATATATTGCTGCTCTCCGAACGCGGTATATCTTTTTTATACATTGAAACACATCAATTCGAACTGGCGAGAACTTCGCACCATTCCAGCAGGAATGCGAGTAAAACGATTGAATATTGCGGAATATTTTTTCCGCCATGCCGGAAAAGCAGGCATGGACCACGAGGAACGGGAGGTAGGTTTCGATGGTAGCAGGAAGAGGAGGAGGAAGAGGAGGAGGAATAAAAAAAACGAGAGGTTCTACCCTCCTCGCGCGGCGGTGTCGAATGTCCGTAATTCGAGATTCCATGCGAGCCAATTTGGCGAGAGCCGGTGGAAAAATAATACACCGCCTATATACCAGCACACGAGACAGATCGCGAGAGCGTGCGGAGGCGAATTTTAACGGTCAATGCGAAACACGTGGGCAGACCATGTTGGGCAATATCATGTTTCGGACCCGTGAAGAAGATCCTGTCCCCGCCGGGTCTTAAGACGCCCGGATAACCGTGCGGTGACGTTTTGTTGGAAAAACAGCGTGGGCGATATTGCTCGTACCCGATGACGGTCTACAGATACTTGCTCCCGAGTATTTAGCCAAACGAGACGATATATATCGGCACCTTGGGACAACCAATATCCCTCCGCACTTCAGAACTAAACGGATTGTATAAGCATTTTATCGAGTAGATCTCGAATAGAGCCATCTCTAATAGACTGTATCAAATTAAATTTTCATCTCGCTAAATTGTAATGGATATGATTAATGAAAACTATTTTAATATACATGAAAAGAACAGTTTTGCTAAACTATTAAAAAATTTAGCTGGACACAGATCTATAGAAATAATTTTATTAGACTATCAAAATAATTAAGATTGATTATTAGAATATCAAAACTTTTTACAGTAGTTCTCATTATGTTTGACGTACATAATTATTTTGTTAGTCCAGCAAGATTATTTTCAAATCTATATATCAAACTACATTTTTAGATGCTTCAGCAAAATTATTCTTTCCATGTATACATAAAATATTTCATGCTATTTCATGAAACTTGAACATACTTTTGACTACATCATCATTTATTAAAGCGCTCCATGCCATACCTATATCCGATACTAGTGCATGCGTGTGATGTTTTTTTTTTTAATACTTTTTTAATAAACGTAAGTTTTTCTGATACAACGAAAAAATTTCCCGAGACATGCACTTCGTTAATCAAGCGCGGCTGACTTGGCACTCGGCGAAACATATTTTTGTAACAGCCCTCTACATTACGATTCGTTAAGCCAGTGTCTGCATTAACTAAGCTAATCCCTTAATTACGTTCCTCTTATTTCTCCTCGCTTCTTCTCTCCCGCCCTTCCGGCGGCGACTCTCACGCTTCCTACATCATCCTTCACTCGGTAATTAAAGAATTTGATAAAGTCTCGCGGTGTGTATATGCGGAAAAAATCACGCTGCGAGCGTACACTCGTAAACAGGTAACTTTCGCATACGTTATACAGCATGAAATACAACAACAATTCATTTCAAGTCACCGCATAAATATCGCACTTAATATCACACCGAATTAACGTAATCAATGAATAATTATCGATTACAAGAGCTTTATTTTTTATTTCGTATGTTCAATAATAGGATATTATACAATGCAGTAGACACGCGAGATAATTTTGATTACATAAAATTTAACGGAAGGAGAAAGTTTCAATGTACTCACATACCGCATCTTGCAACAGCAAATTGTCGTCAAATGACTGACAATCCTCTTCAGCAACTCATCGACAATGCCTCACGGATATGTAACAAGATCCTCTGTATCAATATAACGGACATCTGCCTTCGTTAAACCACGTATTGCACTTACAAGCCCACGTCCAAATTTTGTGCGTCGCGTCGACCGAAAACGGCCGCCGCATGCCGTGGAGCGCTCGCCGATTTTCGCTGGCAGGGTTTTATCTGATTAAACCGACGTAGAAACATGGGGTTATACGTGTAAGCTCTCCGGGCCCGTCTATGGGGAGAGGCCGAACAAATGAATAATGAAAATAAAACCCTGGTGATGCTATCGGTAAGCACCACGGGATTACGTACGCATCAGCGCGCCCGCGATGAACTTATATTATGGAACCCTCATATATACGAGCTGTACACCACGCGCGCGTTAATGCACGCGTGTTAGTGCGTGAGTGCGTAAGTACGTGCGTACGTACCGCCAAAGAAAAGCAGGCGGCTTTTCGCACGTAAGAGTTCGGCAAGTTTCTCTCGCAGGATGAGGATTTAAATGGCAAATTAGAAGTATAACCTTCCCGTTACACATTTACATGTAACGTAATGATTTGTTACTTAAAGAGAAATTTAATATTTTATTTATAAATATATGAAGCACGAAAGATTTTATTCATGCATTTTAAAAGATTTCTCCTTAATTGATAATAAGTGAGTCTTTAATCTATGAGAATGTGATAATAATTTTATCCATTTTATTTACTTTTTGTCTTGTAAGATTAACAAAGATGTAATGTACAATGGGAAATAAGGTAAGATATAACAATAATTCAGTCTCGTCGAGCCACTCGTTTATTCGCAACTGTGATGTGTGTGTGTGTGTGTGTGTGTGTGTGTGTGTGTGTGTGTAGATATTTTTGAATGGTCGTCTTTTAAATGAAAGAAAGGTTGTGCTGTGGGGTGTAAGTGTCACCGGTCGTAATAGTTGCCAAATGTGTCTCGCTCGTCGGAACACGCCGATTATGCCAAGGTGTGAACTTACGAGCATAGCCAATAGCCGATCGTGGTCACAAAAGAAAAACCCCCACAAACCAAGCCGCTTACGATCAATACCTCGATCTTTCGATCTTTCGTCCCGTTCAGCTTGAGAGAACATTCGCCACGGCACAATAGTGAATGGAAATACGCTTTTTGAATATAAAAATACTGATCGTCTATACTTTTCTAACTTCTGAACCAGGCTGAAGATCTAAAACTGACTGCATAATTCATGATTACACAGCAAAAAATATTTTGTATTTTTGTTAAAATCAGTCTATTCAAGTCCTTGTTAAAATTTTGTATTAAATTGATATTTCGTAGTATCAAAATAACATAATTTATGAGTAAAATAAATACATAAAAATAATGTATTTTAAAACGTAAATTCTAAAACAAATGAATAGAACGTTAATTTTAGCATAAATTTTTATTTTATTTAAATATACTTTCATAACTTCCAAATTGTGTTAGTATT